GTATACCTCATCTACAGCTACTTCAGCTTCTGCTCTCTTAATCCCTCCATTTCATATTAAATCTGCATACTAAACTGACAAATAACTCAGCATTTGTAACTTCTGTGTAACCTAAACCCTACTCAACTGCAGAAATATCCTTTGAGGCAGCATCTTCTGAAGACAGATTCTGCCCACAAAGAGGGAGGGATTTCTTCTCCTTGTAAGTTTACATACCTTCTGCACAACAATAATGATTGCAATTTTTTAAAAACAACTTTCTGTCAGAACTCCTCTATGTGATGACACTAATATGGACCAGGGAGTCAACTGGCCATTCCAATTAAGATTTAGTAAGGTGAGAATTAAATTCACATCCTTACTCTTGGGTTTTATACTTTCAGGAAACTTCGTCATAGAGAACCTCAATGTTTCCCAGAATATGAGATTTTTTTCTTTTTGACTTCTTAGTAAAATCAAGTGCTTTCCCATCATATTAATTGAACCTTTCTCCCACTGTCTTCACTGGATTTGACTTTCAATCTCTGCTTGCACAGAGAATTATTCTATATTAAAGAAACAACAAAACAATTATTTTTGACCTAAATATTTTCTCCTAGCCTATACAAAATACTCTAAGTCTATGTATGTTTGAAGAATGCTTTTTCTAAGCATAACCTCCTATTTTATTTCCTGTCAAACTACAGGTCAGGTAAAATGTATCATTTTGTATTAAAAGATATAAATTTTCCTAACATGTTACAGACATTAACTGCTGCACCTGAAGTCTTCAGAGGGTCCAGCTTTGAAACAACTGCAAGCAAGAGGAAAGATTCCCATGTATCAAAATACAAATATTACACATGCTAGTTCAAACAAGCATTTACTGAAAAAAATCTTCATACATCTCCCAGAAAAAAACCAAAACTTAGAACATTAACAGTTAATGTCCAGAGCCTTACATCCACCCAGTCATCAAGGTAAAGAAGCTGTGACACAAATTGTCATCCAGCAGAAGAAGAAAGATTTCAGTAAAAAAGGTACAAACTAGATGTAAACATCAGAGGCTCCTGTGTCAGGGAAATGAAGCAAAAATCACTATGGTAACCCACTAATTTTTAGTTCTTAACCTAATGATCATCTAAGGAAATAAAGAAAAAAAGAAATACCGTTCTGATAATGGTGTTTAGGTAAAGATGAAAATGTCACAAAACGGGCATTCTTCTTTACCCAAAAATAGCAGCCTCGTCCCGCCAGTTATTAACCCTTACATAAAAGGCTCTTCCTCAGTTAGTGCCAAAAAAAATTACCATTAAAGCAAGAAACATCAATTCAGTAAAAGTTAATGAGTAACTCACTAATATAACTGATCTCTTTCAGTTCTTTTTCTGGCTTGGGGACACTGAAACAGTGGAACTTGCTTTTTCATTTTGAAATACTATTTTGGGAAACTTTAGCATTTACATTTACTGATGGCATATCAGAAACACAAACGTTAAAAGTACACCTTTGCCAGTGTGAGATAGAGACACTGGTCTCCCTATGATTTTTTCAGATATAGAATCATAGAATCATTATGGTTGGAAGAGACCTCAAAGATCATCAAGTCCAACCGTATACCTGATGCCACCATGTCCACTAAACCATGTCTTCAAGTACCACATCTAAACGTTTTTTGAACACCTCCAGGGACGATGACTCCACCACCTCCCTGGGGAGCCTGTTGCAATGTCTAACAACTCTAACAGTGAAGTTCTTTCTAATGTCCAGCCTGAACCTCCCCTGGCGCAACTTGAGACCGTTTCCTCTCGTCCTGTCGCTAATTACCGGGGAGAAGAGCCCAATCCCCACCTCACTACAACCTCCTTTCAGGTAGTTGTAGAGGGCGATCAGGTCTCCCCTCAGCCTCCTCTTCTCCAGACCAAACACCCCCAGCTCCCTCAGCCGCTCCTCGTAAGGCTTTTAATCATATCACTATATCACTGATACTAGACAGTATGGAAACTGGAATGCTAACAATCTTTCTGCATTAAAGTCTACACTTTTAGAGACATTTCTTTATTTGAGAATTTCTTGGGTTTGTTCCTTCAGAAGCTGTCATTATGCAATTTTCCATTAAGTCAAGAAAACATTCAATAGAATTATTTTATACAAATAATTCTTGGTCTACAGATTGTTTATCCACATTTGACTCAGTGAACTTAAATTTGTGCTAGTTACACTGACCTGAAGATAAATCACATGGGGTTTGTATTTGTTTGTTGTCTTCTTGTTGTTGTTGTTGTAGTTGTTGCCAGTTTTAATTCTGTGATTGGTCAAGAGAATCTGACTGGTGCAAACAGTGAGACTATTAAATGCCCAAAAGATTTTGCTTAGAATTAACATTTCTGGAAAACCTCTAATCAATCAAGTTGCTGACTAAAATGTTCATTGAAAGTATAAATGAAAGAACATATTCTGCTTTTTCTAAGATGGCAAGTTTTAACTCAAGACACAACTGTAGATGTAGACTTGGGCTTTGGAGCTGGCTTGCCAACCTATGCTCCTTCCGCTCTTCATCAGGTTTCCTGAGTGTACTCCAGAATGGTGTGTCTAAATAGCTCATGGGTTTTGAAGCAAAGGAAAAGTACTTAATGTACATTTTGTAACTCTGTCAGTCTGACAAAATGTCTGTAATATCTGACACATAGAACAAAAGTCCTACCCTGGAACAAAAACTAATTACATGCAGATGTAGTAAGCAGACTGAAAAACCAGGAGCCAGGTAAATACCACCTACATCACAATTGCAAGTAAATCTGATATTGGTATGAATCATATTATTTCTCATATTACATGTTTGGTGAAATATGAAAAATAATTAACCTGGGTTAACTCTGTGTTAATGCTACATATTTCGTAATGCAGTCTATAGCTGCTCAGACAGATGAAACTAGTATTTTACTTATGAAAATAACGTTGTTAAAAATGTACACTGGTTAATTCATGTGGAATGATACTCTTCCAGTCACTATAAAAGTTAAGCTTTAGTTTTTTTCATTTCAAGATGTTGTCTCTCTATTAGGGCCATAGCTCAGACTAATAACTACCTGTGAGATAAGATTAACTTAGGGTGGCTTAAATCTTATGCCTTCCACAGAGTATGCCTGTATCTAAAGATTCGCCTTTTCCAAGTGGCATGGAACTGATGCATTCTTCCCTTCAAAATCTTTTTCCCGTTTAAAGAAACTGTTTATCAGATGTTGGTCATTTACTAGGTTCAGGACAGAGCACCAATTACAGCACATCAGGCCAAGTTAAAAATTATTAATTGCACACTTAAGATCAGAATTAAGTTCCACTCAATTCATCAGGCTTTAAGCCAATGTTTCGGTCATGGTTATATACCAGCATGCAGAAAAAAAGCTCTTTGCTGTATAACTCAGTCAATGAAGAACACAAGGAAGCACTGGTTTAACCAAGAGGACAGCAGACTACTGGAATATCAATATCAATATCTGTCTGCAAGAAAATTAGATAATCAAAGAAATTGAACAATGTGAATTGAATTAACCATTGGAATAATTATTTTGGCATTATATTTTCAGTGCAGACATGTTCTCGCAAAGAAACTGTATAAAATTTCTTTTGAAGTGATAAACTGCTAACTCATGTTCCGTTCACCCCTCAAAAAGCACCCAGTTGGAAACATTTTCGAAACACAGCACATATGCATGCACTATTTCTTTTAATATCACTTTATCTGCTCCTGCTAGATTTTACAAGAACAAATACTCATTCAAATGATACAACTGCAAACACAAAGTGTTTGGAATTACTTTTCCTAGATGTGCAACTGATTTCATATCTGATAACTCACAAGACCCCTTTACATCCAAGCTTACATCTTTTTAAAGTGTATCAGCAGGATATTTTCATTGAAAGCTGTATTTTTCTATTTTTGCAGCTGGCATTAGAAATTTCCTGTGAATATAAGTAAACCATACATATCTATATCCACTACTCAAAAATAATTGTCTTAACAATTTTGTACGCGAATGTTGCTTTGCACATAGAGGAACAAAAGAGAGTAAGTTTGTACATCTTTATATGGAGATAAGCCATTAAAAAAGGAGAACAGAAAAAATTAGCAGAAGGATAAATATTGAGGCTAAAATATCACAGAACTTCATTAGACATCAAAGAATCTGTAAATAAATAAATACTTCAGATCTAGCACACATTCAAATCACGTTATTTTCTTGAATTACCAAGTTATGTGCAAAGCAAGTGTTAGAAAAAAATCTGGGGGAAAAAATACACAGTTGTTGGAATTTGGTACACATGGCTTTCCCTCTCTTCATTTTAAGTGGCTGAAAATACTGTACTTTCAGCTACAGTTGTTACATTTGCCTTGTTGTTTCAGCACAGATCCTCATTCTCACCTCCACTACATCTTTTCTACACTCTCAGTTAAAATAAATGACTGGTCCATGATTCATGTGGCTGGACTCACGATGAAATAGCAGAGGCCTCTGACAGGAGAAGAATGAATAGGTTTATGCTATGCAGGGGCAAAGGGTTAGTTACAAGCTCTTAAATGAAACAAATTAAACTCTGAGTAAAATCACTACCATTTAACATCCTAACTTATACATAGGGACTGAAAATGTGACTCAAAGAAAAGTCTTTTAATGATTTCACTGGGTCCATGACTTTTGCCAGTATTCTCACCTTTGTTCACAAGTGACACGGGAACATATTTCAAGCACCTAAAGCTGTCTGAGAGTACTAGTGCCTACTTCTACCTAATAACTCTTTTACCTCTTGGTTTACTTTGTAGAATGTGCTTATTAGAGTGTACCTTGTATGCATTTATATAGGACCATTTAAAATGAATTTTTTTAAATTGCAAGTAGACTACCTGCCCGTTTTTCAAGCATGCCAAAACACTCTGTCTACTCAAGGCAGATACTTGCCAGTTAAGCAAAGAGGTTTTTTCCCTGCCAGGTTATGGTGCATGGAATAACATCTGGTCTTACCTCTCCATTCTCCAGAGGATGGATTTTGGAATAATAAGAAGTGCATATGACTTCATCATCTTTTACATAGGATGGAGTTCCAGGACGGGGATGAATGTTGTAGCGTGTCAGGCACTCACTGTCTGTGATAGCATAATACTGCCATGGCTGATAGTCTACACCATCCAGCGAACGCTCTAATATCCAGTTCCCAGGTCGAGGTGAGTTAGCTGCTTTTACAATAACATACGCAATCTGGAAAATCTGAAAAATAGACAAATTGTTAAAATATATGTAAAAACATAATTATAAATTCATTCAGATTTCTTAACAGATACCAAAGGACAGTAAATATGATAACGTTTGATTTTTTTTTCCCCTAAAAATGCAATATGGCTTCAGATCCCATTGAAAGTCTTTAACTACAGAAATAAGTTCGCCATTAACATTTCTGAAAAAAAGATTAGTTGCATTAGGCCAATAGAGACTTTGAAAACAGAATTAGAAAGCACTCTAAATTCCACATAACTTAGTAGGTAATTGCTAAGCTGCAGTTTCAGCCAAATGTTTGCAAAGTTCTTTTTCAAGTATTTTCAATTTGTAGAAGTGGGTTTGTTTCTGTATGTGTATTTATAGACAAACACTTTCTGCAATGTTTATGAGTTGCCAAACTCTGTTACACCTTTATCGCTGTTGAGAAAAAACATAGGCTTAAGCTATTGAAAGGTAATCACAACATGCTGAAATCATTGTATAAAACATTCTTGTTTCAATCACATGACTCGGCACTGTGGCCATAAATAAGCTTTATAGGACAGAGACACATCAAATATCACTATAAACAGAATGTAAGCATGTAATCAATGCTCATTATCATTCATTTCACCTGCTTATTCAATTGATTTAGCAAGGTTTATTTCTGTTTACAGGCTTGCTGGAATGCAAGCCACAAACAATACCTTTGCAATTGCAGAAGGACATACATTAGTGACGCAGTTTTGGTTTGGTTTGGTTTTTTTAACCTAGTAACATCCAGATGCTACAGAGGTAGAACTGAAGCTGAGTAAACAGCTACTTCCATTAGAAAAGCAGAACCTACAGCAAGTTAATATCTTTAAGATGCAGTGCTGTGAGTCTGCACATGAGGATGCCAGAGGTTATCATGGAGAGAACAGTCTTGATTTAATACTTTATGCTTTCTGTATCAGATAGTCATTGTAAAGAAGCTACATGAGTCAGGTTTAGGCCACACAAAATCTGTTGTGAACACTTAGACAATCAGTAACACTGGTGAAAGAAGATCCTACAGTAATCAATGAAAGAAACATTAAGACGACTAAATTGTTTACTTAATAACCACCATTATTATTAGAAAATAGAAATTATGTTAACTGGCAGAGTACTGCAAATACTACAGCACATTTGATGACGGAGTCAAAGAAAGTGTTTATCTCCAATTATCACTCCTGCCTTCTGTGCAGATACTGAGAACACGGTAAGATCCACAACAGCTTCAGTCAGGACATCAAATCACTAACAACCAAAGTTTTCCAGTGGGAATAAGAAGTGGGTAAGACTGTATTTATTTTGACCTGAAAAACACACGCGTAACGGTGCATTCATGGAGAATTATCTCAAGTTATCAACATTTTTCTTCAATAGCATAAAAGAAAGTCTCCAGAAACAAGGAGAAACTGGTGGTTCGTTCCTTTTTTTTCAATGGGAATCATACAATCACTTGTCCCTCATTTCACAAATACCCTTTCCCCTCTTAAACTCAATTGTAGATATATTCCACTGTGGCCACAAATAACTATAACTGTAGCTATACTGGATCAGTGTCACCAATGCTCTTTACAATAAACTGAAAAAGACAACATTAATATACCTCTCCAAACTGTTCCCCTCCCAGTTGAGCTCTTTGAAATGAAAGAAAATAGCTGGAGTGTTTAATTATTTATTATTTCTTAAGGGTTGAAATGAGCAACAGCTATATTTTAAGGAACCAGTCTATCAAGAATTATTTTATATGTTGTCTTTTGTATGAATAAAGAATGCAATGTACAATGTAAATTGTTTTTACACCAGCATGATCTAGTCAAACCACATAAACTCTTTCAGCTCCAGCCATTCAGAATAGAGATTTCATTCTAGAGTACTTCTAAATACTTTTTTAAAAAAGTTTTAAATAAGTGTTTTGCCCCAAGTTCTCATAATAAGACTATTCCTTATATGTTGAATGGATAACATCTTTGGTTAAACACATTGCTAAGTCATCTACCATAGAAGATCTGAGGTGTAGGACATAGTTGACAATAAATTCATAATCTTAGATGTGCATATATAGTTTCCTTTGTGGAAGTCCTAAGATTTGCAAAACTTCACAGAAGATTCAATGTTAAATACTGCCAAAAAATCATTCAGCTCTGCAAACATCTTGGATGCATTGACTCTGTGGGACCAAGAGGCATAATCAACAGGAAGTCTTTTTTGTTTCCTTGCTTTGAAATACTAGGCTGTGTGGGGGAGTGAAACTTTCTAGAGTGACTTTTCAAATCAGAGCCCTATTTCAATAACATTTCCTGCACATTCTGTTGAAGATTTGTTTCAAGTCTGGTTTCTTACCTTCTGGAATTGCGTACTGTTTGACTACAATTTATTATATACCTTTGGCTTTGATTACGTTGAGCATGCTTTGTAAATGAAACTGCAATAAAATTTTACGAAAAAAAGCAGCAGAGAGGAAACATCATATTGTAGGTCATACTAGGGTGGACATTATTTCTCTTGATCTAAATTTGACAAGGAAAAAAGCTTGTTAACGTAAAAAAAGAGTACACATGAAGAGCTGTTTTTAACTACTACTCAGTTTTTAACCTGATCCAGACTACTAGTACTGTCCTAGCCTCTGAGAGTTCCTGTAGTGGCTTCTGCAACAGCACCGAGCTATCTGCAACCCATTGACATGTGAAACACTCTCTTTTCTCTTTCAAGTCTCTATTCACAAGTGGAACTGAAAGACTGTTTTGTATAAAAGAAAATTATTTCCTGGGCAGAGAAACAGAGCTGGAACTAAAGACCAGAATTTTTAAATGTTGGTAGGCTGCTAATGCTAATTGCAGTCAAGGGAAGATGAGCAAGCACATACATCAAAAACATAGCCTGGTTGATATTATTCCTGATCTTTCCCACTAAGGCTAGGCTGAAGAAAGTACAGGATGCTAATCCATGCTTCTTAGAAACAGCTTTTCTTTGCAGGACAGCTAGACTTGTAGGGCTTTAGCATGAATTAGGAAGCTAGTTGTCCCAGCTCAGAGAGCTCCACTAAGCACTGTGATGAGCTGGTAGTGGCACGACACAGACTACAAGCACAGTGAATTCCATGCTTTAATGTGCTTTCTAGACAAGTTGACAATAACAACCAGTGCAGAAAAAAACAGACTAAAATTAATGGCAGCTGTATGATGATTCTCAAAACAAGTCAATGTCACAGAAGCAACAATGACTTTCCAATCAACTGGAAAACTGTCTTTCTCCAGGTACAAGAGTAGCCTTTTATTGTGGAGTTGCTTATTAAATGGTGTTCTGGTTACTACAATCAACCAGCAAGAGCTTAGTGGCATGAGTATACTAATACCAATAAAGTCTAATGTATCATTGAGTTTTGCTGTATTTGTTTCCTCAATCAATAACAGTGAACCTGCTCAGCTTTCTGGAGCCAAGTTTCCTAGTAAATTGTAACACTGAGCTTCTGTTCCCACAGGGTAACCGATGGAGCATGCCTGGTTTACTTTTCAAATAGCATCAACAAGCTGACACACGTCAATTGTTGTAATAATTGTACAATCTTAGAGCACATCCAGTTTTGTACAAGTCCAACAGAATGTAACCTGGAGACCAAAGTGTGCTGATACAAGTGTGAAAATGGAGTGATACCAAGCTGCCTAGTAGAATGTAACAGACCATTAACACAGTTGCCAAAGTGCAGCTGGCGCTTTTTTTCTACTTGCTCTGCCCATGTGACCATAGTATTGTTATGGGAGTGGAAGGGAAATAGTCTAAATAGTCCTTTAAGCCTTTCCCAAATTATAGACAACATAATCCTCAAGATGAGAAACAAAATGAGTCTTGGGTCTCATTTGCACTGGTAATCGTCTCAGCAGTGAGATCTGCGAAGCACATATTGTGAGGAACAGTTCCATAAGTTATAGCACTGTAGTTTCTTATGAATGCCTCATAAGACATAGAAAAGTACATCCTACTATACAGGATAATTTGCTACACTAATATTATTCAGATAGAGCTGAAGTGAATCATTAATCTGCATAGAGTTAGCTAGTGAAGCAGGAAATCTCATTGTGCCTGACTCCCACCTGTGCTTCTATTTAAAAAATAAATCCTTCAGTTAGAAACTGTTCATGTAAGTCAGAATATCATCAGAGAAAAAATACAGTACCACACAATTCTACAGAAGTATTTCCATTTCATTTTCTCAACAGAAGAATGTAATAGCTCTAATGGAGGCTTCCATCAGCAATCTGGTGTAAACTGTGTATCTACTTATTTACTGTAATTATATTATGTTGTTGATTATTATTCCAGTTCAGTGTTCAAGTAACCATGGTATTCTTTTATTGGTAAGAATGCAGAATCTGGGCAAGGGTTTATTTCCTTTCAGGCTGGCATAAATCCTGTTAAAACTTGTGGCTTTAGACATCCCATATATTTATTTAACCAGTCATTTAAAAGTGCTGTTAGGGACAGCAAAGCACTGCAGACACCCCTTGTCCCAAGGCGAAATCATCCAGATGAGTCAACTGGGAAGGCTATCTCAAAACGCCTGGCAGGCTAACGGGGGCTATTGGCTACAGGGAGGACAACTCATTAAGAGAAGCAGGGGAAAGAACATTTTTGGACCGTGTAAAATGTATTATGGAATGTGTGAAGGGGATTGTGTCAACAGATGAGACTTACTATAGAACATTTAGGGGAGGGAATAAAGGCAGGGAAAGGGAAGGATCAAGGTGGATCAGTGAGGAACAAGTGTAAGACAGAGGAAAAAGGAGACAAAAGGAACCAGTTGACTGCAAATAGCTAGCTGATCAGCATGTTTGTTCTGACCTCGATCACTGAAGTCTGTCCTATTTTCTCACTAAATCCTGTTTCTAAGTATCTTCCACTTAGATGTGTTCCCTCTTTTGAGTGGGTATGCGTGAACAAGAGTTAACTTCCAGCTCAACCAGCCAGCAAGTAGAAGAGGTCTG